ATGTTGCCAGGTCCTGTGCCGTCCTCTCGATCATTGGTATGTTGGTGACCTTACGTGTAACAGAACGAAATGTTGCCAGGTCCTGTGCCGTCCTCATGATCATTGGTATGTTTGAGCCCATTGTTGCAGCTATTGTTGTCAATCCACCTTATTGCAGGTTTCCCTCGTTTTTGCTGACCCTGTACTTCACCAAACATGATGTTTTTTCCTACCAGTTGGTCTTTCTTGATAACATGTCCAAAGTAAGCAAGACAAAGTCTTACCATCCTCCCTTCTAAGAAGCATTCTGGCTGTACTTCTTCCAAGACAGATTTTTTCATTTTTTTGGTGTTCAGGGTAGACTAAATACTCTTTACCAACACAATTCAAACGTGTCAATTCTTCTTGGGATCTTCCTTTTTCATTGTCTAGCTTTCACATGCATATGAAGCAACTGAAAAGACCACGGCTTGGGTCAGATGCACCTTAGCCATCAAAGTGACATCTTTGCTTTTTATAAAACTTTAGAGGTCTTTTGCAGCAAATCTGCCCAATGCAATGTATTGCTTGCTTTCTTGACTGCTGCCTACCAGGGCATTGACTGTTGATCCAAGTAGGACGAAATCTTTGACAAGTTCAATTTCTTAGACGTGTATCATGATGTCGTTTATCAGACCAGTTGTGAAGATTTTTGTTTTCTTTACATTCGAGTGTAATCCATACTGAAGGCTCTGAACTTCATCAGTAATTGCACCAAGTCATCTTCATTTTTAACAACTAAGACTGTGCCATCTGCTTATCAGTCTTCCTCCAATCAAGACTGCCACATTCTTCTTCATATAGTCTAGCTTCTCAGATTATGTGTTCAGCATACAGACTAAACAAGTAAAGGGAAAGGATACAAACCTGTTGCACACCTTTTCAATTCTGAACCACCGGTATCACCTTTTCTATTCGAATGACTGTCTCCTAATCCGTGTATAGGTTCTGCATGAATGCAATGTTCTGGAATTTCCATTCTTCATGTTATCCATAATTTGTTATAATCCACACAATCAAATGCCTTCATGTAGTCAATAAACACAGGCAAACATTTTTCTGGTATTCTCTAGCCAAGACTCATCTGACATCAGCAATGATATTCCTCACTCACGTTCTCTTCTGAATCCAGCTTGAACTTCTGACAGCTCCCTGCTGACAGACAGCTGCAGCTGTTTTTGAATTATCTTCAGGAAAATTTTGCTAGCATGTGATATTAACAATATTGTCCAATAATTTCTGCATTCCATTTGATCGCCTTTCTTTGGAACAGACACAAATGCGGCTCTCTTTCAGTCAGCTGGCCAGGTAGCTACCTTGCTATAAATGAGTAAGCGCTTCCAACCTTGCATGCATCTGTTGAAGCTGTTAACTAAATGTGCCGACCATGGTCACGCTAGCCTGTCTAGGCCTGTCGAGTCCTTCAGAGGAGCATACCTGGCAAATCTAGTCAGAACAAGGTATGCATGAAGCATTGGTGGTTCAGTGGGAGAATTCTCGCCTCCCATGAGGGAGACCTGGGTTCTATTCCCAGTCAATGACCTCACGCGCAGCCACCATTAGTCTGTCAGTTTGTTGTACCACGGTGGCTTGCATTTTGCTATGATGCTACTTCAGTGGAGCTTCCAGAAGAAGGCAGACTAGGAAGCAACGCCTGGAGATCTACTTCTGAAAATCAGCCAATCAAAACCCAATGGACCACAATGTTACATCTGCAACTGATCACGGGGATGGCACAAGCCCAGGCAGTGTTCCGTTCCATTGTGCATGGAGTCACCATGAGTCAGAGCCAACTCAATGGCAACTAATAACTACACCATTATTATCTCTAGGAACCTACCTTTTCTACAACCAACTTAGTAAAAGCATAAAAGAGATGATATGAAATAACAATATTACCTTAACATTTACCAGTCACAAAAACAACAGAGACATGCGTGGCCCCCAGACAACAATACCTGCTATGTCAGCTCTGTGGCCACACCCTCCTACCTGACACGATTGTGACTGGGCCTCTGATGTCAGTCAACTTCTGCCTGGTGAAGTTCCGAATGAGGCACTGTATCAAAGTGCTCTTCCCAACTTTTGGAGGCCCCATGACCACCACCACTATGGGTGGGGGCTCTAGTGGAGTTCGATCAACCACTGGAATGTGATGTTTTTTTGTCTTCAAATCCTGAGTCCTATTTGCAAAAAAAAAAAGAGAGAGAGAGAGAGAGGGAGGTCAAGGGAGAAAGGAGGAGGAGGAGGGAGAGAGAGAGGGGTAAATTCACTTTCAAATCATAAAAGGCATCAACCATTTTAAATAGAGCAAAGCAGACAATATATGGAAATAAGTAACTTGCTGATTGTTAACTTGTTAACTTCTGGCCCCAATCCAAATAATGCTTTTTCAGTAATGATGTAACAAGATAACTTCAATAGTACAGAGGGTTGAAAACTATAACCACCTTAAAATGGATTCATTTATACACTGACAGGAATACATTTAAAAGAAAACAAAAGGCAAACACTGAGGCAGAATACCATAAGAGCAGAGGAGTTCAGTATGGCTCTCCTACTTACCGGCTGAAGTCCCTGAGTGTGCAAATGGTTAACTCACTCAGCTGCTAACTGAAGGTGGAGGCTTGAGTTTATAGAGGCTCCTGGGAGAAAGGCCTGGCTTCTGTTTCCAAAAAATCAGCCACGGAAAACCCTATGGAACACAGTTCTACTCTAACACACACAGGGTTGTCTTGAGTCTGAGTCGACTTCACGGCAACTGTTATCCTTTTTTTTTTTTTTTTACTTACTGGTTATGTGATTGGGGGTGACTTGCTTTCTGAGCCTCAGTATAAAATGAGGACAACAATAATCCCTACACTCTTAAGACTGTTTGGAGGATTGAATTCAGTAATTTTTAAAGTACACTGCCTGCCATACACTAAGGACTCACTAAATAAAGCTATTTGATACCACATATTACAATTGTATGAAACATACTAGAAAAAAGCAAGCACACTTGTTACCAGAGAAATTAGAAAGTTTAGCAACAAACAAATTCTAAAAGGAAAAACTCTAAGCTTTTCTAGTGGGGCAAAAAAAAAATCCGTGTCCAATCTGGAAGCAAGGCAGCTTCCACAGGAAAGGCTTTGCACATTTTATTAAACAGTATACAACACTCATCTCCATACCCTTTGGAGCTGGACTGGGCAACTTCTAATTCCAATGTTACATGAGCTCATGAATCCAAAGGTCATCTGTGAAAGGCTCCTACCGTTTTGTAGGAATAAATGGGCAGAACCACCAGACTCTCGCTAAAGGTACCTGTGAAAGGATCGAGCCATCCGCACAGCAGACTGGACTGCAAAAGCTCTGGGGTTTCTCTTCCGGGCATCCTCCTCATCTCCAAGCTGGAGATCCTGCAGATGCCTTTTTTTTTTCTTCTCAGCTTTGGGTCCACTGTTTTTCTTTCTGTGCTTCTTCTGGTCCTTAGTCTCCATAGTAGCTTTTTACCAGTTCACAAACAGTTCTAACCTACTCCGGATGGGTGAAGGTAGAAAAGTAGGGGAAACATTTAGCAATCCAGCCAACAAAAGGGAAAAACAGTGATTTTTTTCTTTATGAAAAGATTATGCATTTGTTCACCCATCAGGGCTAAAAACTGCTTAATGTCATCCCCAATTTCACTTCTTTCTATTATGCTATAAAACAGATTATTAGTTATCTCAAGTGCCTAGGTCCAAAAAAAAAAAAACCAAACCTGTGGCCGTCGAGTTGAGTTCAACTCATAGCGACCCTAGTGTCTAGGTCAGCACTGTCCATTTCTACAATAGAAATATTCAGTCTGCACTTTTCAATACAAAATGCTTGAGAAATTAAGATGTAGTTAGTGAAACTGAGAAACTGAATTTATTATTTTATTTAATTTTAATAATTTAATTCTAAATTTAAGCACCCACCTGTGGCTCGTGGCTACCATATTGGACATCAAGCCCAGATATCAACTAGATTAAGCAGTTTCCTACCTTAAACTATTTTTCAAAATTTACTAAAAAAAATTAAAAAATGTTAATGATCCTCCAGCATGACGCATCCCTGGGTGGCGCAAATGGTTTGCACTTGACTACTAACCTAAAGGTTAGCAGCTTGAACCCAACCAGGGACATCACAGAAGAAAGTCTCAGCAATCTGCTTCCTTAAAGATTACAGCCAAGACATGAATCAAAAAAACAGAAAATAAATGTTGGAGAGGCTGTGGGGAGACTGGAACTCTTATGCACTGCTGGTGGGAATGCAAAATGGTACCACCGTTTTGGAAAATGATATGGCACTTCCTTAAAAAGCTAGAAATAGAAATAACATATGATCCAGCAATCCCACTCCTAGAAATACATCCTAGAGAAATAAGAGCTGTCACACAAATAGACATATGCACACCCATGTTCACTGCAGCATTGTTCACAACAGCAAAAAGATGGAAACAACCTAGGTGCCCATCAACAGATGAATAGATAAACAAATAAGGTAAATATAATGGAATACTACGCAAGGATAAAGAACAATGATGAATCTGTGAAGCATCTCACAGCATGGATGAATCTGGAGGGCATTACGCTAAGTGAAATGAGTTAATCACAGAAGGACAAACACTGTATGAGACCACTACTATAAAAACTCATGAAAAGGTTTATACACAAAAAGAAAATGATCTTTGATGGTTACGAGTGAGGGGAGGGGTGGGGATGGAAAAACACTAAATAGACAATATGTAAATGGTAACTATGGTGAAGAGTAAGACAGTACACAATACTGGAGAAGCCAGCATAACTTGTCCAAGGCAAAGTCATGGAAGCGCCACAAACACATCCAAACTCCTGATGGACCAAATTACTGGGCTGAGGACTGAGGGGACCATGGTCTCGGGGGACATCTAGCTCAACTGGCATAACATAGTTTATAAAGAAAATATTCTACATTCTACTTCAGTGAGTAGCGTCTGGGTTCTTAAAAGCTTGTGAGCAGCCATCTAAGATACTCCACTGGTCGATGGGCCACAAGCAGCACAGCATCCACCAGACTGAGTCCAGCACAACTAGATGCTACCCAGCTACCACCACAGACTGTTCTGACAGGGATCACAATAGAGGGTCCCAGACAGAGCTAGAGAAAAATGTAGAACAACATTCTTACTCACAAAAAAAAAAAAAAAAAAAAAAAAAAAAAAAAAAGACCAGACTTACTGGTCTAACAGAGACTGGAGAAACCCCAAGAGTATGGCCCCCAGGCACCCTTATAGTAATGAAGTCACTCCTGAGGTTCACCTTCAGCCAAAGATTAGAAAGGCCCATAAAAAAAATGAGACTAAAGGGGCACAGCAGCCCAGGGGCAAGAAGGAGAAGGCAGGAGGAGACAGGAAAGCTGGTAACGGGGAACACAAAGTCGAGAAGGGGAGAGTGTTGACATGTCATGGGAGTTGGCAACCAATGTCACAAAACAATATGTGTATTAATTGTTTAATGAGAAGCTAGTATGCTCTGTAAACCTTCATCTAAAGTACAATATAAATAAATAAATAAAAGATGATTTTAGAAACATTAAAAAAAAAGATTACAGCCAAGAAAACCCTATATAGGAGTTCTACTTTGTAACACATGGGATCATCATGAGTCAAAATCAACTCAAAGTCAACGAGTTATGACGTGCTAGGCACGGTACCAGGAGATACCTACAGATATGGCTTCACTGGTAGAGGAAATGCAAACTATAATCTCTTCTGTGCCAATCAGAAAGGGTCAGGTCAGAAGGCTGCATTGGGTGCAATCAGCGCACACTGGGGGTCAGAGATTTCTCACAGACACACAGAAACAGTCTTTACATCTCTGAGTAGGAGCTCTGATGGCGCAGTGGTAAAGTGATAAGGCTGCTAACCAAAAGGTCGATAGTCCAAATCCACCAGCTGCTCCTTGGAAACCCTATGGGGCAGTTCTACCCTATCCTATACAGTGGCTATGAGTGGGAATCGACCTGACAATAGTGGGTTTGGTTTTTTGTTTTTTACATCCCTGGGTATTGCAAAAAGATAATGTGTTTGGCTGCTAACAGAAAGGTTGGAGGTTGCGTCCACCCCGAAGCAACTTGGAAGAAAGGCATGGCGATCTACTTCTGAAAAAATCAGCCACTAAAAACCCTACTGAGCACAGTTCTACTCTGAAACACATAGGGTGGCCATGAGTCAGGGTCCACCCTAGGGCAACTAGTTTTTTACATCTTAGCATAATGTCAAGAAACACTGGCCCGGGAGGTAGGAAAACTGGGTTCTAGGAACGCTAATAAACTAGTCACTGGTGACGTTAAGACATTATTTTCTTCCCTATTGTATTTTGGTTCTGAACTCGTACTGGTGACTTTCTTAGTGGGAAAAGCACAATCTGAACCCACAAATCTGGCTCAGGTCTACCGTCACGTGCTCGGACTGCCCTCCCAAGAAGTGACCTCTCCCCGCCACCTCCCGTTCCCGTCTGGATTCAGCACAAATTCACTTCGCCAGTCGTCCAAGACCTCTGACCACTCCGGCATGAACGGAATGTGTATCAGTCCGAGCTACGAGCAGCTCCTCAGGAGGAAAGACTCAGCGGGAAGGCCGAAGGAGGATCTTAACCGGGTGTGCGACTCACCAATCCTCCTGGAGCCTCAGCCCCCAGGACCCGCCAACGCTGCCTTCCGCACGCCGAAGCCGTTACCTGGTTCACGACTGCTCCAACTCTTCAGGCACACATGGACACCGGCGGAAACGGAAATGCACCCTACGCTCTGCCTCTACCCCCCGGCGGGAAACAAGGAAGCCGAAGAAGGAGTCCGGGGGAGGGACGACTTTCAGGGGGAAGCCAAGAATAAAACCGGTGATTGGTTGAGGGTGGCCGCAAGCGACGCCTTCAAGGCACGTTCTACCCGGCGCCCGGGCTCGCCGGGTCAAGTCTCTGTTCTCAGCTGAGTTCTAGACGGAAGGGTCTGTAGAGTGGCGCCTGCCGCCGAACACTAAATGCCTCAGTCTGAATCCCTAGAACCTGCGCCGCGCACGCTTGATCCCCTCCAAAGGTCATGTCCACACTGCGGCCGTGCCTTGGTGCGGTACAAAAGGCCCAAATGAACATACGTAGCCTTGGTCACCCCAGACCCACCATGTCCTCACTCGCATAATGGGAGATCCCGAGACTGGGAGTCAGAAAACAAGAGCTTTTCCTCCTCCGCTTGCTCACCTTGTACTACTTGGACGGCAAAGTCCCCAATACGGTCTTGGACTGAGAAATCACTACACAGATTATGCCTTTCAAGTACAGGAAGTTAAGGCAAAGCCTGGAGCAGCTTTGCATTAGAGTCCTGTTTCGTTTGCTTGGCTACTCCCTCCATCGCTCCAGATTTGCATTAGAATCCTGTTTACTTGGCTTAGTGATGCATGAAGTTATATGTAAACCCCATTGTGCCTGTGTGGTATGATTAAAAATGTTGCTGATGTAACTTGTATGAACTTCCTACTTGGGAACCCCTTAAAAGTAACCTTTCCCTTAACCCTCTTGGAGCAGTCTTGGCGGCACCAGCCCGGACTAACTCTCTTCCTTGCCCAAGGAAATAAAGGTGATTTTCTGCCTTCCCACTTCGCTCTCGTTTATTGGCCGATTCTAGTCACGCCGAGCAGAACCTGGGGTTTCCACCCGGTAACAAAGTCAAGAAAGTTATCCTGGTTTTCAAAATACATTATAACAAGGACAGAAAAGTTCATAGTACATTCTTTAAGAAAACAGATTTTCCATTCAGGTACATGACGTCAAGGGTGTTATCCTGGTTTACAAAATGCATTGTGTGTGACAAGGACATGAAATTTCCCCATATGTTCTTTGATTAGAAAGAACTACGCAGTTTCTTTCATCAAGTAAATGAAGGCAAAATAGTTTTCCAGGTTTTCAAAGCAAATCTTGCATTACAAGAATAAGAAGGTTTCCAGTACATTCTTTGACTGAATAAACACTACATACATTTGCTCATGAAAAATGAACTTAAGATAATTATCCTGTTTTTCAAAGTGCATCGTGTGTCACAAGGACAGGGATGTTCACAACACATTCTTTGAGAACACTCTGCACTGATTTTCCATTCAAGTACATGAAGTCAAGAGGATTATCCTGGGTTTCAAAGTACATCGTGTATAACCCAAAAAAACCATTGCTGTGGATTCTGACTCATAGTGATGCCGTAAGACAGAATAGAGCTGCCCCATAGGGTTTCCAAGGAGCAGCTGCTGGATTCGAACTGTGGCCCTTCCGTTTAGCAGACAAATGCATAACCACCGTGCCACCAGAGATTCTCCTGTACAACAAGGACATGAAATTTCTCCATACATTCCTTGAATCAGGACACAAACACTGATTCTCCCATTCAAATAACTAAAGCCAATACAGGTTCTCAAAGTACATTTTGTTTTGCAAGGATGTGAAAGTTCCCAATACATTCTTTACGGACGCAACACTACACATATTCTTCCATGCAAGTACACAAAGTCAAGAGCGCGGTCCTAGTTAGCAAAGTACGCGTCTTAAACAAGCACAGGAAAGTTCCCAATACATTCTTTGACTGAAAAGACACTATATACAGTTTTACCAATTCAAATACATGCAATGAAGAAAGTTGCCTAGCTCAAGACCAAAACCTAAGCCTAACTTTAACAGTAACCCTAACCCAAATACTAGCTCTAGCACAAGCTTTAATTATACCCCTAGAGCTAAACCTAACTCTAACACTAACCCTAACCCTAACCCTAAAGCTAACCCCAACTCTGACAATAACCCTAAGCATAGCCATAGCCCTAGTCCTAATCCTATCCCTAAACCTATCCCTAACCCTAATCCTAAATCTAACCCTAAACCAAACCATAACCATATACTTGATCCTAGCCCTAGCCCGAACACTAACCTTAAACATAGTCTTTGCCTTAACCCCAATTCTATCCCTAAAAATAAAACATACCCAAACCCTAGTCCTAACCCTAACCTTGACCCTAGCCCTTTCACTAGCCACAGCCCCAGCCCAAATTCTAAACCTAAACCAAATCTTAACTATAATTGTAACCATAACACTAGCCTTAGCATTAGACCTAATTCTACCTCTAAACCTAAATTTAGATCTAGCTCTAACACTAGCCCTAGCAGTAACCTTGATTCTACCCTTACAACTAAACTTAACCCTAACTCTAATTATAATCCTAACCTTAACCCTAGCCCTAATCCTGACACTAACTCTAGCTATGGCCCTTGTCTGAACACTAACTTTAACACTAAAGATAACCCTACACAGAATCATAACCATAACCACAAACTTAACTGTAGCCCTAGCCCTAAATCTACCAGTAAACCTATAACAAACTTTAACCCTAAACCTAACACTAACCATAACCTTAACACTAGCCCAAGCCGTAGCCCTAGTCCTAGCCCAAACCCGAACAATAGTATTAATCCTGACCTCTAATCCTAACTGTAATTTTACCCATAAACCTAACCTGTATCCTAAACCTAGCCCTAATCCTAACTCTAGCCCTAAAACTAACACTAATTCTAAACTTAAACCCTAAACTTAGTCATAGCCCTAGACTTAGTCTTAGCCCTTGTCCTAGCCTAAATCCTAACCCTAACCTCACAACAGCCCAAGCCCAAGATATAATTCTAACCCTAAACCTAACTCTAGACCCAATCCTAACCCTAGGCCAGTCCTAGCCCTAATGCTAACCTAAAGCCTAACCCTAGCCTAACCCAGACAGTAGCCCTAATTCTACCCCTAACCCTAAACTTAACTCTAACCCTAAACCTAGGCCTAGCCATAACCCAAGCTCTAGCCTTAGCAGTAGTCCTAATTCTACCCCTAAAAATAACCTTAACTCTAACTGTAAACCTAACCCTACCCTAGCCCTAACCATAAACCTAACCGTACCGTATCCCTAGTCCTAATCCCTAGACCTAGACCTAAACCTTGTTGTATGGGAAAAACATCACAAAGTTAATAGGTAAAAAGAAGTTTTATTCAGCCTTTATTCAAGGGGGCAAATGTAGGAAACGGACAACCATGCTGCCAGAGCCGTGTCTGTCCAAGTTCAAGGAAATATCACAAACCAGACAAAAGTGGGGAAAATGGACAAGCATGCTGCCACAGCCATGTCTGCCCGAGTCCAAAGAATATTACAGAATCATTAGTATATATTAACATTACAAATGGGGAAAACCATTGAAAGCTTCACCCTGTCACAGATTGGCTAGAGACTGTGATCCTACATTTTGAATCGTCTTTCTTAACAGTCATTGGTACAGGTTTCATTAACGACAGTCAGGAGGGTCTTCGTTGGTCCAACAAATTTCTATTCACTAAATGCTAATAGAAAAAGACAAGAGTGGAAAGTCTTTTGTGTTCTGTTTGATTGGCTTTATGTGAAAGTTTCCCTAGAAGATATTTTGCAAGATTATCTTAGCTATGGTCTTTATACCTCAGGGCCCAGTTGATGTGTCCTTGTGAGTCCTTGTGAGCCCAGCTTCAGCTGGGTCACATTCTCTATGCTCAAAGACAGGGAATAATAACTCCAATATTATTTTCTAAATCAACCTACACCTAATGCAAACCCAGACCCCTAAATCAAAACCCAACTGAACCCATAAATTCTAGCCTAGGTGTGAATCTTAACACTAACCCTAACACTAAACCTAATTCTAACCTTAACCCTAACACTGAAGTTAGCCTTAGTCTTAGAGCTAACCTAACTCTCCTCCTAACGTGAACCCTAAACCTAACATTAACCATAACCGAAACCTTAACACCTAACACTAACCCAAACCCTAACCAAAACCCTAATACTAACCTTAGCCCAAGCTCTAAATATACCCCTAAACCTAAACCTAAATCTAACACTAACCCTGGTCCTAGCCCAAACACTAGCACTAATAAGTTAAATTTAAACTTAAAGCATTTTTACTGTGTATAATATGGTGTCTTCTGTGCCAGTTTTGTACTTTATAATAGAGGTAGATCGTCTCTGGTAGCTGTGGTTCTTAATATCAAAATTAAGTTTGCTTGAATGCAGAACAATCAGAAGACATAGGATTCTGTAAGAATCCTCTTTAGCTGTGGCCTGGCAGTATATAAATGGTGCTTTATTTAACAGAATACCTGTGGAGGAAATAAAGCAAATTCTATGTAAAAATAATCATTTTGTTTTTATTCACATGACTGATCGCTATTCTGTGAACTTAATTAAACTGATTGTAATGACTTAAAAAAAACAAACAAAAAACAAACCATGAACCCCAGCACTAATTCAATCCCTAAACCAAATTCTAGACATAACCCTAACTCTAGCCCTAGCACTAGCCCTAGCCCTGGCACAAACCCTAACCCTAAGCCCAGCCCTAACACTAGCAGTAGCCCTAATTCTACCTTTAAAGTCAACATTAACACTAAGCCTAAATCTAACCCTAACCCTAACTGTAACCCTAACCATAAGCCCTAGCTCAAACCCTGATCTTACATGTAACCCTAAACCTAACCTTAACTTTAACCCTATGCTAGCCTGAGTCCTAGCCATAATTCTACCCATGAACCTAACCTTAACCATAATCAAAAACGTAACCCTAACCCTATCCCTATTCCTAACCCTAAGCCAAATCTAACCCTAAAATGAAATCTAACCATAAGACTACCATTAACCCTAAGCCTAACACCTAAAACTAATATTAACCTGAAAACTAAAGCTAACCATAACACTATACCT